AAAAAAAAAAAAAAAAAAAAGCCTTGGTAATACCTTGGTTTTTTAATCACTCCGAGAAGTATATGGCCACAAAGTATATCTTTCCATATTCAGGAGCCTTTTACTCTAAATGACTTACAATAATTACTTGGCCACATTAACTGGCTCTGCTCTTCTATGGGTTTTCCAACTTATCAATTACAACATTTGTTTAATACCTTGAAGGGATAACCTGATCTGTCCTCCCCTCGTTGCTTGTCTGGGGAAGCACGATTGGAATTGGAACAGGTTGAATCCTTTTTACATTCCAGACAATTAACACGTATTTTTAAATCTCAAGTCATTCATTTCATTATTTTAAACACCCCATGTGGTCCCACAGGTTTGCTTTGCCAATTTCCTCCTCAAATAGGAGTCATTGAATGGATTTTCTTACCCCATCAACAAAAAAGGAAATTATATACTGAATTGGAACAATGTATTCAGCTGCTCACTGGGGGAGGACACCATCGTAGAGTGCCTGCTGGGTGTGATCCTGATGTTGGCAATCCTGGTCTTTCTGGGGCTGATTTTGGTGTTGCCCTTGAGTGATCAGAGTCTTTGCGGATGGCTATGGTTGATTTTGTTGGTGGGATGCAGTTCTCATTATCCCATGATAGAGTTTTGCAGGGACTCCAAATGCTGCCCATGCAGTTGGGATCCTGTTTGTCCCCTGTTCCCCTCCCTTGGGCACTGGCTGTGTTTGTCGGCAGTTCTGGCAGATCAGGAGGGGGATCTGTGGCAGGGCGGGAGCAGTTGCTGTCCATCGTGGGTCCACTCAGGGGGCTGGGTTGGCAGCTGCCATTGCAGCTTTGCAACATTTTTACAATCAGCCACTTAGTTTAGTGTCTGACTCTGCCTAAATAGTTGGAGTCTTACAGGTAATTCAAGATGCATCTATCCATGAGGGAAATTATTTTCTTATATTTGAAATGTTTCGACATTTACAAAAACTTATTCAAAAAAGACATCATCCTTTCTATGTAACTCGCACGCATTCTCATTCTGGTCTTCCTGGCCCTTTATCAGTTGGAAATGATATGGCTGATCAGTTTGTTATTTATAATAATGTTTTACAGAAAGCTATTGATTCTCATCAGTTTTGTCATCAGGGTGCATGAGCTTTGGCTAACATGCATCAGATCTCTTACAGGCAAGCTCAAGATGTTGTTCATGCTTTTCCCAATTGTCAGAGGTTTTCTAAATCTAAGTCCCCTGGAGGAGTTAATCCTCGAGGAATAGAAGGTAATGAAATTTGGCAAATGAAAATCACTCATTATTCCACTCTTGGACATCTTAAATATTTACATGTTACTGTTGATACTTACTCTGGTCTTATCATGCCAGTGCCCAAACAGGAGAAACTGCTAAACATGTTAAAAAAACATTGTCTTTCTGCCTTTGTGACCATGGGGATTCCAAATCAAATTAAAACAGATAATGGACTGGCATACACCTCCAAAGTCTTTCAAGTATTCTGTGACAACTGGAACATTAAATATGTCACAGGAATCCCATTTAACCTCACTGGCCAGGCAATTGTTGAAAGAGCTAATAGCCTTCTTAAATCTCAAATAAGTAAGCAAAGGAGGGGTAATATAGATATAGGACTGGCCTCTCATGAACAGGTCTTTAAAGCTCTGTTTACACTAAATTTTTTAAATGTAACTCCCCAAAATTAACAGCCACAGAACAACACTTTCTACCTCCTTAAAAGAGGCCTAGACCCTTGGTTTTATTCCACCACCTGCCGATGGGACCACAATTGTTGGGACCTGTCGAATTGTTAACATGGGGGAGAGGGTATGCATCTGTTCTCTCACCCACAGGCCTGCTATGGATTCCTTCTAAGGCTGTTAAACCTTATGTGGAACCCCAAACCAGACAAGGAACTGAATCTGATCCCAAAATCTCAATGCCTCGCCATCACACCTCAATCCATCTCACTGGGGATGGTACACATCAGACCACCAGTGATGATGGTGCCAACAACCACTTCCACCTCTGACCTACAGCAGACCACCAGTAATGAAAATAATGACAACGAGCTCCAAATTGACCTGGGGTAAATTAAAAAACTTCAACTGTCAAAGAGCTTTCAATAGCTCAGCCCTTAAGCTCAGTAACTCATTTGAGAAACAAAAACTAAACTAGAATCTACCTGTTTAACTAGATGGTCTCAAATTTTCTGGTATCCAGCTAGTTATCTTAAACAGACTTCCAAATTCTCTTCTAGTCTCATCTATGTATTTCTTCACAAAATCCTATGGTAGAATTCTATGCTATTTTCTTAAAAGGAAGGAAATCTTCTCTGCATCTTCTTGAAAAGGCTTGCATACTTTGCTTTACAATGTAAATTTGCTATCTTGTTTTCTTTAAGGCAGGGTGAGGCCTCACCAATAAGTCTTTTTAAAAAAACACAATCTAGACCTGACTGTCCTTTTTACTAGTGAGCTGTTTTTACATCTTGAACAAAACTTGTAAGATCCTTGTTTGTTCTTGTTGTCTATATCTGCATATGTGTGTGTGTAAGCTGTATGTTATGTCTATATGTTTATGTCAGTATGTGTAATTGTGTTATGTGCAAGGTACCAAATTGGCTTATAATTAATGCATGCTCATTAAATAAATAAGTATACTTTTCAAGCTCACGTGACTTAAATTTTCTAAGGTTTTGATAAATATATTTTCAAAATTTGATTTAAACCTTTTACCTAAATTTGGCTAAAGGTCAATATGCCTCTTCCTATCTCAGCTCTGCCTTCTGGCTGTGCTGGGAGAAACAATATCTTTTAGACATTATCTTTGTAAATACTGCCCTTTGTCTTAAGCTCCACATGGCTCCAAATGCCACATGGAAACCTGGGACCCAAAATGGCTAGTGAAAAAAGGCCTATGCCAAATATTGCATAGGCCCTAGTTAACATTAACTGATAAGGGTATAGATCTAACGCACCAAGTTTTTGGCCGGGAAACCTTGGTAAAAACAGCTATAACTCAAACTGGGTTTTGGCATAGGCCCTAGTTAACATTAACTGATAAGGGTATAGATCTAATACACCAAGTTTTTGGCCGGGAAACCTTGGTAAAAAAAGCTATAACTCAAACTGGGTTTTGTATAATTTGCTCTGATAAACGGACACCTATTTACTAACCTGAATGTATAAAAATATTCTTATCAGCACACATCATTGCCTGGGTTTACTAATCAAACAGGATTACTAGAGGTCTTTTCACTTGACTGCTCTTAACACAAAATTGTAAAAGGTTTTCTTTGTCCCTTAGATAACTGGTTTAAGAAACTTATTCTGGGCCAGGCCTGTGGCACACTCAGGAGAGTGCGGCGCTAGGAGCGCAGCAGCACTCCCGCCGCGGGTTCGGATCCTATATAGGGATGACCGGTGTGCTCACAGCGCTCACTGGCTGAGCGCAGTGCAGCTGGTCTCAAAAAGGACAAAAAAAAAAAAAAGAAAGAAACTTATTTCATGATAATTTCTTGAGCTCTCTGCCTTTGAAACCCTCTGTCACTTTGGTTTTACTTTTTGTGATAATTTGTGATTTTATTCAACTAAGTGTTTTAAGCCTTTTGTTACTTGACAAAGCTTTCCAAAACTGAAAGCCAAACCTTTCTGGTTTAAAATAACTTTGAGGAATTCCAAGGGCCCTGGAGCTTCTCAAAGGATATATAAAAAACGTATCAAATCTAATTGGCTTATTTAATAAATTAGACTATATGGGAAAGCATTGTCAGTACTAAAGGTGTTATGGATATGTGTTCCAAAATCTTGTAACGTTCTTAAATAAATGTGTCTTGATATAAATGCTATCAGTCATACTCTCGGTTCAATTATAATTTTAAAAATGTTATGTTGGGCTGGCCCGTGGCTCACTTGGGAGAGTGTGGTGTTGATAACACCAAGGCCATGGGTTCAGATCCCATATAGAGATGGATGGTTCACTCACTGGCTGAGCATGGTGCTGACAACACCAAGCCAAGGGTTAAGATCCCCTTACCAGTCATCTTAAAAATAAATAAATAAATAAAAATGTTATGTCTTCAAATATTTCATGGAAAAATCTCTGATAGGTACAGTTTTCTGACAAACTTTGAGTTCATAGCTTTAAACTAAAGTTCCAAAATTCTAATGAAGAAACTGATGGGGTTGTGAAATTGTTCACAAAGGTCAAAACAACAAAGGTTAATTAATGAACTAATTAAAAAGAATTATGGGTTTTTACAATTTCCTTATTTTGAAACACTGCTGGTTCTCTTAATGTTTTGCTTTCCAAATGTAAGAAAACTCTCTCTCTTAAGCTACCTATAACTAACAACAGTTTGGTAAAATGTCATTTAAAACAGAGATAAAAGCATTTGTTTTCTCCCTATTTGATCTGCCCCAAATTTAAAAACTTTAAGTATCCTTATGATTATTATGGCAATGTGGCTATTTTTATAAGCTCAATAGGAATTAACTCTTTCTCTCTTTATAACAGGATATAATTTAAAACTTTGGATAGAAGATAGCATGTCTCACTTCCAAGTTGCTAACCCCTTTCAAGTTACCTCAATTTGGCCTAATTGATGCTTCATCCTGTGGTTCATCTTTCCCCCCTGGACGTGGGACAGATCACCACCTGGGAAACAGTCTTCCCAGTGCCGTGGGATTTATACAAAGAAAAGTAAGACCTTTTCAATCAAGATATTGATCATCAATGCTTTTATGAGGAATCCCTTGATCATAAAGGGGGAAATAATGTCTTCTCTACAAAAGCAGTTCTCTAAATTTTCCTGGCCTTAAAGAGGGTGCTTGTAACTTGGATGAGACATCCTGTTCCTAAACAAAAGACTTGTAATTGATCAAAAATTTTACAAAAGATTAGATGCTTTAAAAACAGTAATGTCCTGGACAGGTGAACATTAACAAATTCTCTGAACTCAGAATCAACTATTATATGGAGCAGAATCCCATTCCGGAGTGTCAACAATTGGTAATTACACCTAGTTCATAGCACCTGGAATGATGCCAATGCAGCCACCCTGAGAGTTGATGACATCATCAGTCCTCACCTGAAGTAAATTAAAAGGACTTGCCATACTAAATGATACCAATTTTGCTTTAAATGCTTTTGTCTTAACTGTGAAAACTTGATCTATAGATTTTGCTTTTTCTTTTAAATAAATAAAACAGGTGGAGATGTGAAGTATGTGTAAAAAAAAATGTACTTCACAGGGACTGGTTTTTCAAAGCCTTGCAGTTTCAAATACTGACCTTGCAAAAGACAGGAAAATTTCTCCAGGCTATATAGTCTCTGTTGTGAGATAAAGAATTGTAGCACAGCAAGGTTGCTGGCTCAAAGACAGACAAGTTACTGATTGGTATGTAAAGATACTGGTAAATTGCTGTAAGAAGAGAATGTTTGCTAAAATCAAGCTTTTGTTAGTGGATTGACTTAATTGCTTATAGAATGTCACCTTACTGAATGTTACCAGCTTCTACTGCTAAACTTGTTAAACTGTACTTAGCAAAAACCCTACCTATGTTCTCTTCCTGGAACTTCCTGGAGGTCTGGAAAATAAATGCGGGAAGAGAACCTCAATTTGTGGTTAATTTCCCAAATGGAAAGAATGCCTCTATCTTGAGGGTTCTGGGAGATTAACCCCTTTTGAGGGCTTTTCACTGCTCAGAAGAGATGGGCTTTGAGTAATCTTTGGTGGCTCTGTCACCCAGGGGAAAAGGGGTGACAAATCCTTGGGAGGCAAAGCAACAGAGGAGCACCCTGTAAACTCTTAGGAAAGGGTTTATATGTTGTTCTGGGATGGGGGTGTTTCTCTATCCTAACTAAGGGGAGGAGTGTTCAAGAAAAAGGGGGTAGGAAAGAGGGAATTTTGGTGTTCTTGCTCATGTAAGCTGTATTCTACGAAAAAAAGGAGGTTTTTTGGTGGCTGTGATTTTGTTTCCTGCTCAGAAAACCACAGGGTTCTGAAGAAGGGCAAGCTGATTGGTAAGGTGGTTTAGCTGCTGCTAGCAGGTTTTAGCTTGAGCAGCCTTCCTGGGGTAAGTCCCTGTTCTTTCCTACCTCAATTCCCCCTTGAAAGAGTTCACTCCCAAAAACCTATATCCTAGAGGGCCGTAAGTCTCATTCTTCCATAACTGCTTCATGCTGATTTTGGGCAGTTGTTCCTACCTGTTCCTGTGAGTGAAACTCCCTACCTATACTGTTAAGTGGCCCCAGGGATGGCTTAGGTACAGAGAGGTGCAGGGGCTTATATCCTTGAAGCACTATGATGTTGTTCTGGATGGAAGCTGTTCTTAAGGCCCTGATGGAGGGGTGGAATCAGTATAGCTTCATTGATGTCCTCCTTGGTTTTCCAGGGTCAGTAAGTCTGCAGCCTCAGGCTGGCTGGAAAACAACTTTACATTCATGGAAATAATGTCATCTTGTCATGGGCAAGAGGGAACTCAGAGAAATGAATGCCAAGGAAAAAACTGTGTCCTTTTTAAAATTTGTCTATAGTCCATGTGGTTTTAGGTCCTGACATGGCTTCAGTCCCGCTTACTCCAACAAGTTTTTCTACTGTCAATACTTAGATTTGACAAGCTGTATATTAATCGGTACATTGACAATCCTAAGAACATACACTATTCCTTTTGTTTAGGAACAGGATGTCTCATCTAAGTCATGAGTCTCCCTCCCCATCTCCCCATCCCAGCTGCTTTGGCTGCACCAATGGTGGCTAAATTGGCCCTGGATGTGGCTGGACCTGCTGTTTTGGAAAATACTAGCTGGAAGCCCGGGCAGCATCCATGTGGTGTTAGGTCCACAGGCTCACAGAATGCCAGAGCTGGGAAGGCTTGGGAGCTTCCACCTCAATTTCAAAGGATGTAAGGAAAAGCCTGGGGGCCCAGGAAGAGATCTGTCACAGGTTGGATTCACCACATAGAGCCTTCACTAAAGCAATGCCGAGCAGAAATGGATCAAAGTTGTAGCAGAGAAACCCCTCAGTACCATGCCTAGTGGAGCTGTGAGAGTGGGACTGCCATGACAGAAAATGCAGAGCTACCAGCATACAACACCAGCCTGTGAGAGCTAAAGCATCACCTAAGACCAAGAAAGCCACAGAAGCAGAGTTGGCTGAGTACTTGGGGACCCAATCCCTATACCAGCATGCAGAGGACTTTGAACATGAAGTCAAAGTAAGTGATTTGCCAGCTTTGAGATTTAATGCCTGTTCTGCTGGGCTTCAGACTTCCTTAGGACCTATTACACCTTTCTTTTGCCCATTTCTCCCTTTTTGAATGGAAATATGTACCCTATGCTTGTCCCACCATTATGTCTTGGCAGTAGATAATTTGTTTTGATTTCACAGATGAGACTTTGAGACTTTAGACTTTTGAGTTGAAACAAGTTAAGACTTTGGGGATGGAATGAATGTATTCACCTGTGAGAAGGACATAAACTTTGGGGGTCAGGGGTTGAATGATATGGATTGTGCCTCCCAAGTTGTATGTATTAGTAGCTTGATCCCTACTGTGACTGTTAAGCGGGTGGGAAATCCTATTATGGTAATTGAAAGGTGGGACCTTGAGGAGGTGATTAGATTCTCAGGATCATGCCTAGTGAATGGATTAAAAATGGTGGTCATGGGCGTGGTTCTGCCAGCTTAAAAAAGAGTTCATGTGGAGCTCTCTCTCTCTCTCTCTCTCTCTCTCTCTCTCTCTCTTTGCTCCACCATTTTCTGCCATGTGAGACCCCTGCATTTCTGTAAAGCCACCACCAAGAAGACCCTCACCAGACGTGTTCCCTAGACTTTGGGCTTCCCAGCCTCTGAAACTGTAAGCAATAAATTTTATTTTATTACAAAGTATCCAATTCCAGGTATTTTGTTATAAGCAACAGAAATGGACTACTACATGTGGCATACAACAATTTCAAATTACTAAAATTATGATTGAGAGCATTTATACCTAGACACATCAGTTTTTTAGGAACCTTGTACAATTTCAGAGTAAATATTAATAATATGTAAGTATAACACAAAGAAGGTTAAACATCATTTCTTGTTTTGACAATGCTTCCCATATATTTTAACCTATCAGATTAGCCAATTGGTTTTAATACCTCTCTTTTATATATATTCTTTGAGAATTTCTGGGGCTCTTGGTTGCCCAGCAGCCCAGTGATGAACAACCTCAACCAGAGGAGTCACCAAATGAATGTTGGGATATTACAGCTGGTTGGGAGAGAGAAAATGAGGGAGCACCTGAAATCCAACAGCCTGACCTAAAAGCTGATCTTCACGACTGTCTCAGCCAAAGAGTGGAGGTAAATGTGGAGATTTTCCTGATGTCAAGGGGGAAATTCTACCCAATCTAGAACCTGTTAAAATCCCAGAAGCAGGTGAAGGGGAACCACAGGTTTAAATGAAGACAAGTTGAAACAGTGCAAACTGTTCTTATGTTGGATATCTGCCTTAAAATTTTCTCAATAATGTTCTACAGTTTCTTCCAAAAAAAAAAGGTTTGTTGGGGAGGATTAATGCTTGGCCAGGAAATAGTTTTATGTTTGCATTGGCAAAAATACTGAATCCAGAACTTCCTGTTCTGAACACATATCATGAGCAGAGAGAAAATGAAGATATTTTCTATTTTCCTTGCTGCTTCTATAGCTGTCAAGTGGGCAGTAGGAAGGGAAAATTTGCTATCCTATGTTTCCTTTCTTACCTGCAACTGATGTTTATTAATAGCTCAGTGTAAGGGCTTGCTCAGTGGGTTTGAGTGCAGTCTTATAATACCAAAGTCATGAGTTTGGATCCCTATACCAGTCAGCAGCTAAAAAACAAAGCAAACAAAATAGCTCAGTGTAGACATGGAACCAAGAGAGGTGTTTTCTGGGAGCTGTTATTCTCATGAAGAATTTGACTATGAAATTCCTTTGAAACTTCAGATGTATGTAGCTTTACATGCCCTAACCTGTTGGCAGTTTGATTGTTCTCAGTGATGGAATTGCGGATATTTTTCTTGCATAAGTGATTCCTTACTGCAACAGTATGGCAAGGAAGACCAATGAGAAGAAGAGCCACCATTCTCCTATGTGCTTTAAAGACCCTGTCTTGGACTGGAAGACAAAGGTTAGAAGGAGAGGACTCTGAGGTGTGGTCTTTACCTGACAGTAACAAGATGCCCAAGAAGACTAGTGGGGGCCATGGCTGGTTTGGGAAGAGCTGGTTCCAAATGGAGTATGCAGAGTCACCTATTATGCCCTGAGAGCAGCCTCTGACCTTTGGAGGGCAGCCATCTTTTGCTTCTGAGGACTATATGAGCCTCAAAGTGAAAACTTCTCAGGAGGCAGATACTTCTTGGACACTTTTCCCCTCCTCTTACATGTCAGCCAGATGGAAGGGAAAGATATCTAGATGAGGAGTCTAAAGGCCTGGGCTCTAGCTCTGCCTTTAACCAGTTGTGTGTGGGGGTCAAATCATTGTCCTTCTCAGGCATCTATTTTTCCACCTGTAAAACTAGGGTGCTGGGACTAGATCATCCCTGAGATCCTTTCCAGTTCTGACAGTCTACGATTCCAAGGTCCTGGAAAAGTGATGAAAGAATAGCATGGCTAACAGGAAGAGCATGTGTGGGTGTTGAGTCAGGCAGACCTAGGTTTAGATTCCAGTGCTCCCACTTACTAGCTATGTGAACTTCGTAAATTATTTGACCTCAGTCTCAATTTCCAGATCTATAAAATTATAGTACCTACAAGGCAGGTCTGTTGTAAAGATGAAGTAAAACTATGTCCATATTTCCCAAACTGTGTGTCCAGTCACCCTGAGATTTGGCAGTAAACTCACTTGGGTACCATGATGGGATATCTCAAATTTCTGAGGGAAACACAGTGGCATCTGATAGGACAAGAGGTAGTTTAGTTCAACATTAGGGCTGGCCAGTTAGCTCAGTTGGTTAGAGCATGGTGTGTAACACCAAGGTCAAGGATTTGGATCCCCACACTGGCCAGACACCAACAAACCAAAAAAAATTAGATTGTGCTACATTCCTTGATGTCACATCTACACAAAGCAAGTGTGATAAAAAGCAAGTACCTTGTGAAAATCAAAATGAAACACAAAAGAGGGTGGCGGTGTCCAATCTGATTGCAAGGTTTAAGTGAAATAGGTGCACATATCCCTTAATAGGTAATTGTGGTTATTTAAGAATAAAATTTAATAACTTTTTCTTTCAATTTATATGAATCATTTTTTTCAAACTACTAAGTTGTTAGTGTATAAGTGCTTCTTAAGTTGTTTGAATCTAATTACTTAATAAATGGAGCTGTTAGGTATTTCTTTTGGCTTAAGGGCATAGTGGAAAAATTACTGAGACTCTATGTATGGTCTCTGAGAACTAAGAAAGTTTGGGAACCTCTGAAACATAAAAAGTACCTGGCACACAGCAGGTGCTCAACAAATGGTAAAAATTATTATGGAACTGCCTTGGATTGAACATCCCCCAAAAGTTGGTCCCCACTGGGACAGTGTTAAGAGGGTGGGAAATCTTATTATGGCGATTGAAAGGTGGGGCCTTGAAAGGATGATTAGATTGTAGGATCATGCCATAGTGAATAGATTAATAGTG